CTTTGATTCCTTTTTTTTTTTTCTCTCTCTCTCTCATAAAGACGGGAAAACTGGGGCTGTTGTTGGTTGGTTCAGTCAGGCACCAAAACAAGAAACTCAATGAGAAATATTTGGTGCAAGTTCGGTAATAGCGACATGTCCACCACAAGATGACTAGAGCACCACACACGACGTTTTTCTTAAGCTAACATGCTCTGGCTGCCATCCACAGAAATAGCTAGAGACCCCTACATGGTTTCTACTTGGTCCAGAGGTATATATACAATCCTTCGAAGGTCAGGATTGAGGGGCCGTCTATCCGCTAGTGCCTCGGGATCGCATCTAGTTCTCAGCGGCGTGGGCCCCCCCTTCCCACCCCTGCTCCGGGCACGGCCAGCTCCCTCCCTCCTGCGAGCAAGGTGGATGGGGAAGTCACCATCTGGATGGGTGGGTCCTCCCCCACCCACTCCTTCCCTCAGACACTGATACCACTGACTCCTCTTTCCACAAAATGTGCTTGCAGGCTTCTCCTCTACGTCAAATGGCTCAGAAGGCAAAGTTTGGCTGCAAGGGCTATGGCCGTGGGGGGACCTGGTGAAGGAAATGGGGTGTCCACTGGCTAACTCCTCCCTCAGCTGTCGGCTCCCAGCTGTGTCTCAATGTCCACTCGGCAGATGGGGCATTTCTTGCTCATGGCAAGCCACTGGTCCACACACAGTTGGTGGAAAAGATGCATACAGGGCAGGCGTCTGGAAGAGAGGAAGAGAGTCAGGTGACTGGCAGCAGAAGCTGGTCGGGGCTGCAGCAGGAGTAACAGACACTCAGGGGATAAAGAGACATGCGCTGGATCACTGAGGTGTAATTGTGAGGTCATGGCTGAGGACAGAAACTGTGACGGAAAGTAAGTGTCAAGGTCCTCCTCCTCCTCCTCCTCCTCCTCCTCCTCCATGAAGCCCTTTCAGGTCAGCCAGAAACAAAACCATGACTTTGTCTTAGACCCACCAGGCCAAACATCCTGATGCCCTCTTTCACTTTGCTTCCATGAGTCCATAGCTATGGGCACCACATCTAGAACTTTCCATGTCTCACCTTCCCAGTGCAACCACAAAGCACACTACGGCACACTTGGCACAGTCACATGCACATGTAAACAAGCACCCTCGCCCCTGGACATGCAGTGTGGTGTCTGGGCACCCACGCCTGTGAGAGAAGCGGGAGAGAATCCAAGAGGTGGCCTCCTACCTCACATCTTCTCCATCTTCCAGCATAGACAAACAAATTGTGCATTTCTCATCGGTGTCAGACTCTTCCCCTTCATCCTTCTTACCCTTGCCATCCTGGGGTCTTCGCTACAAGAAGCAAAGTGATGGGCACTCATTACCTGGGACAGACTGACCTGGTGGCCATTAGCTTTCACCCACAGCCCCCTCTCACCCTGCAGCTTCCTCTTCCCCTGGGAGTCAGTGTCTTTTTTCCTCTCTTCCCAACCCTTCCCTAATGCTGAGGAGAGAGAGGGTTATAACCAAGTGAGGAAGAGGCTAGATGGACTTTTGTTTCCTGACTCAGGCACTGTTAAGGAGTGCAGAGTTCGGAAAGGAATCAGGTTCCTAATGAACTGATCTATTGCAAAGCTCTGTCTTGTGTATTAACTAAGCTTCCCCTCCCTGCTTCCCTCATGCTGCCTGCTCATCACATCCTATCCAACCTGGACCTTGCTTCCAGGCCTCTCAATCCACTTTGCGGTCCATGATTCACTCGTGCCTGCATTCATTCATTCTTTCACTCAACTCAGGTCGTTTACTTATGTTCTCAATACCAGATGAAGACAAATTTACTCCATTCATCAGTAATGCCTGTAACTTCTACCACACTGTTGCGAACAATTCTGTATTGCTGCATTTCTCTTTCCATCCAGAAACTTCCCTTAAAGCAGGCTCCAGCTCCGATCTGAGGATAGACATCCTGCAGACATACTATCAGTATTTACTGACTTGAATACTTCCGTTTGCAATTCTGTGCTAAATTTGTGAAAGTAGTTAACCACTCTGTAGAAAGTTTCAGGTTCTCAGATGGTGCAGACATCCAAGATTACCATTTTTACCTACCACCCCACATTGGCTAAGTGTAAAGGGTGTCCCTGCTACTTATAAATATTCTGGGGGAAGGAAACCAATCAGTGAATGAAACCAGCTCCCTTTCATGTTCCCTTCTGTGTGCTGTGCTGTGAAATAATGTGGTAACAACATAGGAAAATTACCTGCTCTAGATGAACATATTTGACTGTTTGCCTTGTTTCTATTGGTTTTTTTTCCCACTATGATTCATGATTTCCTTTTTATACTTCATAATTTTAGCTTCATATTACCTTGTTTTATTTTACCTAACCATTATTTCTCTCTATTCTCTCTTTTCAAATTCTAATCTCTTTCCTATTTTGTAGTTTTAATTGCTTAGGTCTTCTGGTTTTTTATTATCTGTATAATTTTTATTTTAATTTTAACTTCTCTCAGCATTTATTCATTTATTTATTTGGTTGTTTATTTATTTATTTGTTGGTAATGGGGATCAATCTCAGGCCCTTGCACTCACGAGGCAGGCAGTGGAACCACTGAGCCAAATCCCCAGCCCAGCATTTATTTATTTTAATATTACTTATTCTTTTGTTCTTACCTTCCCATTTTATAAACATTCCTTTTTGACTCTGATGTTCTTGATTTTAATTTTACTTTATATCTTTTCCTAGTTCTCATTTTTCTTTTTATATTTCTCTATTTTCATTACATATTTTTATAACTTTGTTATATTATTTTAAGATACACTTTTTGTCTTATATTATGTCACACTGAGTTTGAGTTTTCAAAAAAATTTTTTGACATTTTGCCACATGTGATGACACACACCTGTAATCCCAGCACTCTGAAGGCTAAGACAGGAGGATCATCACAAGTTCAAGGCCAGCCTGGACTACATGGTGAGATCGAGGACAGCTGGAACTACCTACACAGAGAGACCTTATCTTTTTTTTTTTGCTACTGAGGATTGAACTTGGGTCCTTGCGCTTGCAAGGCAGGCCACCAAATCGCTGAGCTAAATCCCCAACCCCGAGAGACCTTATCTTAAAAAATAAAATAAAATAAAAAATATTTTTTTACTCTTTATTTGGGTCCTAAATCTTTTTCATTTCTCATTTTTAATTCTTATTTCTTTTATAATATTTTTATTTTCTTAATTCTCCCTTAAGAGTAGTTTTTACTTGAGCCCTTTATCTCACTGATTCATCTATTTTCCCTTTTCATTCTGTATTGGTTCTTTTCCCTATTTTCTTTCTTTCTTTCTTTCTTCCTTTTTTTTTTTTTTTTTTTTTTTTTTTTTTTTTTTTTGGTAGAGGGATTGAAGAAGTGGGACCTCGCACTTTCGAGGCAGGCGGCACCACTGATTTAAATCCCGGGCCCTTTTCCTATTTTCTTGGGGCCTATTGAAATGATGGTAGGTGTGGTATGTGGCCCTGTGAGGAGTGAACATCTTCACTACATCAGGGACATCGAAACTGCTCCAGGTCCCTGCATATCCAATAGTTCCCTTCCGTATTCTTCTCCAAAAGCTTAAAGCTTCTTCACAGAAGAACCACTTTCCTCATGCAGATGATACCCTTAGCTACAGAAGTACTGTCATGTTCCCTATTAGTATGTGATCCAGAATCTGATGCGTAGTAGGCACTCAATAAATGTGGCTGAAATTACTCATGGATAAATTCAACACCTCTGTGAGGAGATGTGTGTAACAAGATTCGTAGTCTTCCACTTCCATCCCACAGGCAAAAGTGCTCCTCATCCCCAGGTAAGAGCAGCCCACCATTCCCAAACACTCGGTAGGGAGCAGGCACTGCACTGGGCCGTGTGCATACATCATCCCTGTGAATCATGTTGAAAAGAAAAGAGAAGAAAGCCGGGCATGGTGACGCACATTTGTGATCCCAGCACGCTGGGAGGTTCAGGCAGGCAGATTGCATGTTTAAGCCCCACCCAGGCAATTTAGCAAGCCCCTGGAACAAAATCAAAAAAATAAAAAAGAGATGCGCTGGAAAAGTGACGCATGGTATCCAAAGTCACACAGCTGCAAGTAGTAGAACTAAAAGTCAAAGCTGGTGATCTGACTCCGACACCAGGTGCTTCTACCCCCTGCACTCTTGAGCTCATGAGCCAGTGCTGACAGCCTCTGGCTGGACCACCATGGGCATATCCTGCTCTAAGATTCTCAATAGCTGTCAAGTTTTTAATTTCTTCTGAAAGAGAGGACTTTTACAATTGATCGCTCATTTGGCTTTACAATATGCTTTATTTTTATAGCAGTTCCAGTCTACATTAAAATTGAGTAAAAATTACAATGTTACCATATATTCCCCCATTAGTTTCCCTAACGTTAGCATCTCAGGTTGTGTGATGCACTACTGTAATTGGATAAAAATACTGGTGAACTAATAATAGTCCACTAGTAACAGCTGAGGTCCCTCAGCCGAAGGGTCACTTTTTGTATCGTGCCATTCTATTGGTGTTGACCATGTACAGCATCATGTGTCCACCGTTACGATACCATACAAAAGAATTTCACTGCCATAAAATTCTACACTCCACCTGTTCATTCCTCCCCCCTCACAGCTGGCAGTCACTGAGCTTTTTATTACCTCAGGGGTTTTGCCTTTTCCAGAATGTCATATAGTACACAGGACTCAACCTTCAGAGGCTCACTTCTTTCCCTTAGTAATGTGCGCTTCATGACCCTTCACATCTTTCATGGTTTAATAGCTAATTTCTTTTTATTGTGAAATAATATTGCATGAATGTACCACAGTTCACCCATTCACCTATTGAAGGACATCTTGGTTGCTTCTAATTTTTTTCATTATTTAAATTTTAAAATGTTTTAAAGGCTCAGTTTCCTGGGCAAAATTCCTGCCGATTCTACTTCTATTGACTTAGCATACAGCCAGTGGCCCTGTAGCTTTAAAACTTCTCAGTCAGAATACTCAGTCTTAAAAGTCAGGTTTGGAAACCCCTGCTCAGAACACTTCCATAGGTGACACTGGCCTTGAAATTGCTTTATAAAGCAAATCTCAGCCTTTCCTGCAGGAACCTTTGCCCACCTCATTTAGATATATGCACACACAGACACACACACAAACACAGTGCCCTCCTCCTTTGCTGATAAGAAGACTATCTTCCCTCTGACCACACAGCACAAGCAAGAAAACCCTGGGAGATATCATAGCTTCTAAGCATCTAACCAGAGCAGAGGCTTCTGGATTTTGGGCTATGCCCCTATAGGCAACGAGCCAGGGTTTGTCCTCACCTTCTTGTACTTGTGGGGGAAGGTGAACCTCTCAATGGTGTTCTGCACAGCTCCCCGAGTCACATTTCCCAGCCTGTCCTCAAGCTGAAGCAGCTCCTACAAAGAGGAAAACAAAAACGTGTAGTCAGCACATGCAAATGCACACGTACACACAAGGTAAGAATGAGGGCACCTGAGATGTCAGCAGGAAACATTCACTTAGCCATCAGGAAAGCCTTGTCTGAGTTGAGAGTCTGTACCATCCTCTGCCCGCTTCCTCTCCTCCACTTCCTCTCCCCCCACACCGCTCCCTCCCTGGGACTTCCTACCACCAGTGACTTCCCCACTAGCAGGGTGGATGATGGAAGGTAATAGCATCTCCACCAATCCAGGAGTGTTAAACAGAGTAGCGTACCTCATAGCTCTCCCGTACAGCGGAGGTGTGTCTGCTGGGATTAAGTCCTTGGAGAGCAAGGAAGTGAAGCTGAGGGTAAGGGTAGTTTCGGATTTCATGGACGACCTGTTGGGGAGAGAAAAGCTTGGATAGAGGAGAATCCCAGGCTTACCCATGAGACCCATATGCAGGGCTAGGGATTTAGCTCAGTGGTTCAGGCATCTGCCTCGCAAGCACAAGGACCCAAATTCAATCCTGGGTACCAAAAAAAAAAAAAAAAAAAAAAGAAGAGACCCATATGCAACTGCTCCTCCCATGATTACTGGCCAGCACACCCAGAAACACTGAACACTGCAGGCATCAGAGATGCTCTTGAATCCCTGTCTCCTCATCAAGAACCAAACTTGGACCAGCCCAAGCAGCTCTGACAAAATCAGTTAAATGACAGCTAGCCCTGCCTCGGCACCCGCTTCTTGGCAGGCAGGCATTGCCATAAGCACATCACATGACAAACCAATCCAGTCACCTCACTTGATCTACACTGTGCGTGCAATTACAACACCCTTTTGCCGATGGGGAAAGTGAAGCACAAATAAAGTAATTACCTCAAGTTATGCAACCAAGTGACAGAACCAGGACTCAAACCAAGCAGTTGGGCAGCAGAGTACAGTGTCCGGTTAAGGGCAGGCCAGGATCAAGGCAAGGCCCAAAAGAATCCGTAACCATAGTATATTATTAGTGTTATGCAGTATTTTAAAAGTCAAAATGAATATTTAAAAAGTCCAGCTGAGGAAAACATAAATATTTTAAATACAGACTGGCCCTGTACTTGAGTGGCCCTGACCTAGTCACCTCTTCCTCACCCTGACTAGGAGTCAGAGGGACCAGATCCTATCACAAGTCCTCAGTGCATCCCAGGACCAGCCATATAACCTCTCTAGGCCTCAGATTGCTAATCTGTAAAATAGGGATAAAATCCTATTGCATGGGGTTATTGGGAGGATGAACTAAGACATGTGAAGTGCTCAGAACAGTGCCACTGGGATCTCTTTTTACCGTCACACCAGATGTATTGGGCAGACATCTACATTCCCATTTCACAGATAAGTAAAAACAAAGCCCGGGAACACATGGTCACAGGAAATAATAGGAGGGACAGAGTCTGTCCTATCTGATTTCAGCCCTGTGCATTGCCCTCAGAGACCCCAGCATGACCCACTGCCCTTTTCTCCTCCTACTCCTTCAGCAGGACCAGCTTCTTGCCCAGCAGCTTCCTTTCACTCCCACTCAGCCCAGAGCAGGAGCAGGGGCTAAGAGGAAAGGGGAGTGGTTGGTCTTTGTAGGAGCCAGGACTCAAGGCCAGCTGGACACAGTGGAGCAGGGACACAGAGGGGCCACAGGCCTCCACTCACCCCTGCGCCTAGCTGGCAGTTCATTTCCTGGCAGGGCCCCTTCACTCACCATCTGTGTGGAGGAGGAGTTCCTAGGAAAATGGTGCATTCGAGGAGTCGCTAGGTAATGCTGATAGTGCTGAGGGATGGGCCGCACCTGGAACTGAGCAGGACTCAAACCAGCGTCCACGCTGAGATCCCTGTGGGGACACAACCTCAGTGAACCAAGGCAGCAGAGGAGCCATCTCGTTCCAGGAGGGACCTCAGACATCAGGGCCACACACTGTCTGTCACACAGCCCTCCCCGTCTTTGTAAAAGGAGGAAACCGAGGCCCCAAAGCAAACAGCTCTGCAAGGCCTGAGAGCACTGGAGTCCAACCCGTCCCCGCAAGACAAAGCCCTTCACTGAGAGAAATGCTGAAAGAAGTATCCGAACAGAGCAGAAGGGGGACACACAGTAAAGGAAAGATAAGGCCCAGATGAAAGTGGGGGAAGGAGCACGTTGAGAAAACAACAGGGAAGGGACCTCTACTCTTAACTCTATAGGCTAGAAAACTACCCTAGCCACATTCCTTCATCACACACACACACACACACTTCTGAAAGTGTAGGGAAACTCATTTCACTCAAATCTAATTAATTACACTGAAGATGAACCAATAGCTATTTTGGAAAAGGGCTCATTTCAGATCTGTGGAGAAAATGCACAAGGTGAGAGTGAAACATTTTGTCATAACTGAAAGCAAGACAGCTATCAAAGCACTCTGAGGTCATTGCTAAATGCTCAGGGACCACCCAGAAGGGGCTCCCACCAGGCAGGCAGAATAATTTGCATGGCAATAAGCATAATTTCACTCATCCATAAAGAAGGACAAATTTGAGTCATTTGTAGGAAAATAGATGCACCTTGAGACCATAATGCTAAGTGAAATAAATCAGACACAGAAGCTTAAATATCACATGGCTTCTCATATATGAGAAACCCAAATTATAAAAAAATTAAAGTAAAAGGTAGATGATAGAAAACAGAAAAAAAAAAAAGAAAACAGGAAAATAGAACTTCTGCAAATATAAAGGAACTTAGAGAGGGAAAGGGGGAGGAAAATAAAAAGGATTAAGAAGCAATTTATATATACATATACATATATATATGTATACATATACAATATACAAATATATATATATATATACCAACTCCCCACAATGAATGCATTCATATGTATGGCAAATATGCATGACAACATTTTTAAAAAATAAATTTGGCATTAGAAAATTCCTGAAGGGTCTTAATATTCAAATAGAGAATTATGTTTATTTATGAGTTTTCATTTTAAGTAAATCAGACTTTTTGATGTATTGCTGAAAAAAATAAGTATAACTGCTATAGAGACTGAAACACATGAAATAGGTTTAACCGATGAGAGTGAACTAATGCTAAAGAAAACTGATCCTCTGAAGGATAACCAACTCTTCACTTAGAAAACCAGTAAATTAAAAAATAAACCAAACATTTATAGTGCATGTTCCTTATTAAATGTACTTCAAAGAACTAAATACTTGATGTGGGGAAATTTCTCTTTATAAGTGTCTTCCAGCTAATAAATGAATAAGGAAGGATTAAATTATTTGTCATCATTTTGCATCCCCTAAAGAAATAAAGGATCTAGGCAAAAATCATCAACTGCTGCTAATATCACAAAAGGAAAGACAACCAGACATGGAGTGCTTTCTGATGGAAAGACACAACACCACCTCTGAAGTATTTTTGCTAAGAAATAAGAATTGAACCCCAAGTTGCTAGAGCACTGATCTAAAGCCTATGTGTAGGGAATATAGGAAACTGAGAACATCTTATGTGATACCACCAGAGTGTAACAGCAAAATCCAGACAAGGGTAAATTCTGGTTTCTTCCATGTGTTCATTAAAAAAAAAAAAAAGAATCAGAATTGAATAGTTCTTTTTAAGGGCCATAAAGGGATTTCTGCTCCCAGCTATGTGTTGGGGGAGCAGGAATCAAATTTACCCTCCCACAGTAAACTACTAGAAAACTGCACGGCATACATGAAATCTTTTTTCAGACACTGCATAATGAGTAGTGCAGAGCTGTGATCCCTGGGGGAAGGAAAACAAACAAGGTAAGTCCTACAACTTTCTTGGCTCTTCCCATGATAGTGCATCCAGATTACAGTATTTTGGAGGGAAGGGAGCTGCATCAAAAGAGAGCTCCAGAAATCTGCATTTGAGTCCCCTGTCATCTTTGCTGAATACTAAGGTAATATATGCATGGGATGAAATCCGACAAGGTTGAGCAAAGAGCACCCAAGGAGTAGTGAATGTTTTCCAGAAGTTACACAGGGCTAGGATGCATTTGAATTCCAACAAGTCAGCACAGAGAGTCCTTGATGATCATTCAGAGAGCCTTTTGAAGCTTGCTTATAAGCTTTATTAGGGCAGGTCTAGAGTACTCTCTGATCTAGGGATATTCTAGACCTGTAGTAGTAAAACTAAAAACAAGTCTCCAAAGAATAAAATTGAACTGCAAGTGCTGCTTAACAGAACAAAGTTCAGTAGTCTCTAAATGAGTGAGACAAACTTAATTACTCAACAATGTATATATAATTCATGACATTCATCATTCAATAAAAAAACACTGAATGTGCTTTTTACAAAAAGGATAGGGATTGGGGACATAGCTCAGTGGCACTGTGCCTGCACAAGGTCCTGAGTTCAGTCCTTGGGGGTGGGGGAGAAAATATGCCCATAATCATGTGGAAATCAGACAATAGACCTTCAAGACACAGAAATGACAGGAATTAGTAAATAAAAGTGCCAAAGTAGCTATTGGAATCATTTCAAATATGTAGATGAAAATGTAAACATAGGAAGGAGAAAAAAGGAAGATATTTATTTATAAAATGACCAAAATGGAGCTTCTAGAGATAAAAAATGCATGTCTGAAATGAAACTTCACTGGGTTAGATTAATAGCAGGCTAGACACTATACAAGAGAAAATTAGTCACTTAAATACATATCAATAAAATGATCTAAATGAAGTATGCAGACAAAAATAAGACTAAAGATTAAGTCTCAGTAATAATACAGAGTGGTCAACTATATGGGTAAGTAAAGACTCAAAAGGAAGCTTGTGTGGTAGCACACACCTGTAATTTCAGTGCTCTAGAAGGCTGAGGCAATAGGATTACACATTCAAGCCCAGCCTGGGCAACTTAGCAAGACCCTGTTTCAAAATTTTAAAAATTTAAAAACTGGAGATGTAGCTCAGTGCTAAGGATCTAGGTATTAGTAGTGGAAAAATAAAAAAGACTCAAAGGCAGAGGATGTAGAGTAAAGAATAGAAAAAATATTTTAGGGGCATAATGCTTAAATTTTTCCAAATTTGGTTAAAACTATAAACCCATCAATTTAAAAATCTTAACCAATTTCAAGCAGAATAACACAAAGAAAATCACCTCATGGCACACCATAATCAAATGTCTGAAAAACATTAATAAAGACAAACAAAATTTTAAAACTAGCTAAAAAAATAGATCCATTAGATACCAAAGAATCTGCATAAGAATTATCATAGATTTCCCCAGAAATAAAGCAATCCAGAAGACAATGCATGACATCTTTATTGAGAGAACAACAATAAAAACCAGTCAGCCAGGAAAAAAAAAAAAAAAAAAAAAAAAAAAAACACTTTTCAAAATAAAGGTAAAACAAGACTTTTTCAGACAAACAAAAGTGGAGAGAAAGTGCTGCCAACAGACCAGCATGACAAGAAATTCAACAATAAAGGAACTTTTCCAGACAGTAGGAAAATAGTTCCAAATAGAACCTTAGATCTATGCAGAAAAATAAAGAATGCCAGGATGGCAGCTATGTGGGAAATGTTAAATATTCCTTTCTCCATTTAAAACACATAAGTTTGATTGTTTAAAAGAGAAATTGGCAACCTTTTTCTGTAAAGGATCAGAGAGTGAGTATTTTAGCATCAAAGTCCCATATTTCTTTGTCACAATTATTGCAATGGACACTATAGTTCAGTAATAGCCAGGAATTATATGTAAATAAATAGACATGGCTGTGTTCCAATAAAAATGTACTTACAAAAACAAGGAGTGGGCCATGTTTGACCTCCAAAGCCAGAGTTTGCCAAGTGCTTGATTTATTTTTCTTTAATTATAAACTGAATCTTTGCTGGTACATTTTATATATATAATGCAGTTACATTCATCATTGGGATCTTGTACCTTTATATGACAAGTCTTGGTTCTTATTTTTGCCGCATTCCCCTAGCCTCCCTTCCCCGCTCCATCCTTCCCTATTTACAAAGACTTTGTTTCCATTTCTTTCCTTTTCTCTTATTTTTTCTCTTCCCTTTTTACCTTTCCCCTATCCCTCCCATTTGCCCAATACCTTTAGACCTTTTCTCCCTATTACAAAATATCAATTATACATTTTGACCCTTATTTACACTTTTAGTTTGTCACACCAGAGAAACTATAGGAATTTACACGTGTGTCCTATTAATTTCACTTGAGTATGTTCTCAACGTGCATCTACTTAGCTATAAATGACTAATTTCTCAATCTTAATGGCTGAGTATTACCTCATTTTATAAAACAAAAAAACAAAAAAACAAAAAAAACAAACACATCTTCTTTATCCAGTCTCCAGTTGATGAGCAATTGGGCTGTTTCCATGTTTTAGCTATTACAAACTGTGCCGCTATAAACATGGGTGCACATGTATCACTGTGGTATGATTCCTTTCATTCTTTGGGAAAGATACCCAGCAGGGGAATAGCTGGGTCAAATGGGACTTCCAATCCTAGTTGTTCGAGGTGTCTCCATATTGATTTCCACAGTGGTTCCAAGTGCTTGATTTAAAGCAAAACTTACAGCAATGTATTGTGGTGATTATAACATGTATGGAGACAAAGCTCACAAAAGAAATAGAAAAGAGGTAATGAAAGTACACATTACACACAAAGCAGTATAACTCTATTGTGGGGTAGAGGGATAACCTAACTATCCATATTATAAATTAAGGACACTCACAAAATAGGATAAAATAACAAGATAAAATAAAATGATGTGACAGTGAAGCCAATATTTAATTCTAGAAAATATTCAACCAACCCAAAAGAGGCTTGAAATAGATGAAAAGTGATTTTTAAAAAGACAGAACAAACAGAAGACAGAAAAATGGTAGATTTAATCCCAAAAATATAATTACATTAATATAAATGGACTAAATGCTCCCATTAACAGATTGTCAGCTGGAAAGTAGAATCCAAATATATGCTTTCTATAAAAAAATTTAATATAAAGACACAGGTTAAGCATAAAAGGAGGAAAGAAATATACCATACAAACAGTAATTGAAAGAAAGCTAGGGCAGCTATATCAGACGAAGTAGATTTTGAACCAAGGGACATTACTAAAAATAAAGAGAAGGGCTGGGGATTTAGCTCAGTGGTTCCAGCGCCTGCCTCACAAGCACAAGGGCCTGAGTTGGATCCCCGGTACCAAAAAAACAAAAACAAAACAAAAATAAAGAGAAACACTTTATAATAACATATTTTGAAAACATAACAATTCCATATGCACTAATATATATAAGAAATACATATATCCTAATAATCAGAATAAGTGAAGCAAAGACTGATAGAACTGAAAGAACCAAGACACAATCATACCTGTAGACTTCGGCTCTGCTTTCTCATAACTCACAGAACAAGCAGACCAAAAAAGTTTTAGTATAGTAGAAGACCTGAACAACATTTTTCTTTTGTTTTTTATTTTTTGAGACAGTCTCACTGTGCAGTTCAGGCTGATCTTGAACTCACTATGCAGCCCAGGCTGGCCTCGAACTGATGAGGATCCTCCTGCCTCAGTCTTCCAAGTACTGGGATTATAGATGCACACTACCATGCCTGGCCTGGACAACATTATTACCTAACTTGAGCTTATAGTAATGTTTATACAGCACTCAACAAAAACACAACATACATTCTTTTAAATACATATGGAACACATGCTGAACCATAAAACAAATCTTTATAAATTTCAAAGGATTAGAATTACACAGACTAAGTTTTCCATTCACACTGGTTTTAAATTAGAAATCAATAACAACAACCAAAAAAAAAAAACATCTGGAAAATTTCAAATATTCAAAAACTGAACAATATACTCCTACCCGGCCTTATGTAAAAAAATAAATCATAAGGAAAATGAGAAAATTCTCAATCTTTAAAAAAGAAAAATTCATGGTTAGTATGTTTACATTAGAAAAGAAGAGAGATCCAAGTTATGACCTAAGGTTCCACCTTAAGAAGATATAAAGTGAAAGAAGAGAACAATGAAATTATCAGGAAAGTCTTGGATCAGTGTGCTCAGTGGGGGATGGAGCTTGCTTGATCTTTAAGATGTCTGGATAGGACTTATCCAGGCGACAGTGGGTCTGGAGAAGCAATGTCTCTCTCACTTTCTGCTGTTGCCACCAAACCTTGAGAACCTGATTTTGTTTTGAAGCAGAGGCTGGAGTCCTAGAAATATCTCCCAGCCCAAAGCCACCGGGCTAACCCAAAATTCTGTTCTGGAGATTTCTTGTGGACCGTTTTTCCATATACATCTTTTTTTTTTCATTTGTGCCTAAACATCAAGCTCAACTATATATTCAATCATCAGTTTTCTCAAGGCATGGTTTGGCCTGGTTGCTGAGCAGACCCTTAAGTCCTGGGGAGCTCCAGAGGCCCAGGGGAGCTCTGTGGGGGTAGGACAGCAGGAGGCTCCCCACCTCCACCACCCTCTGTCCACAGATGCCATGTGTCTGGAGACCTCTTCCTGGGGAGTGGTAGAGTTGTGGTGAAGTGCAGTCACCCTAGGGATCAGAGTTGAAACTGAGAAGCCAGAATGGGATCAGAAAAAGAGCATGACAAGGACAGAGACATTGGGACTGGTGTTCATGGTCAGGGTCAGGTCCCAGGGAGGGAGAACATTTGGAATTTATCCCCCAAGGCCTACTCCAGGATGCCCAGCTGGAAAAGCTGCTCAGGGAGACTTAACCCCCAAGGAAGGGGAAAAGAAAGGCCAGGGCAGTCTCAAGCCTGAGGCTGGACAAGGACCTGTGGCTGTCTCAGATGGCCTGAAGAACATTCAAGGTTTCTGATGTTTGTCTAAAGAAAAAGGGGGAGGGGAAGTAGCCTTTCCAGACATGCATTTTTTGTAATCCAATGATGTTTGTCTAAAGAAAAAGGGGGAGGGGAAGTAGCCTTTCCAGACATGCATTTTTTGTAATCATGTCCCTTCTTACCAGTGTCCCTTCTTCTGGCAGAAAAGTCCTCTTTGGAAAAGAGGATTGGGATGCAGTTAGCAGGATTGCAATTACAAAAACCACTTGTCAAGACTAGGCCAGCCCTTGCTGGAGCAGAGCTCACTGCATGGGAGAAGCAACTGTCACCTCCTGCCCTGGAAATAGCTTCCTACTTGAAGAGTGGGAACAGGACAGGCAGGGCAGCCTCAGGTGGACCCAAGTAGGACTCTGGGGGCATGCAACAGCCTCTCAGGGTCTTGTGCTCTGGGTTTCTCCAGGCAACAGGGACCAAGACCGCAGAGTGACTGAAAGGAGAAGGAAGAAGAGGTTGGCTTAATAAAGAAAGCTGGGGCAGGACTAACACCTGCATGATTCCTCTTGACATCTCTCCAGGACAATGGTACCTGTATCATCTGTCCAGTTCCACAGGCCTTGTTAGGCCATTCCAATCACTCCGCCTTGGGTAAGTGCCCTGAATGCTCCATGTGTGCTGAACTGAATCAAATTGAATTGACTTGACTGCTGAGGGACAGGATTTAATCCAAACTGCAGTTAAATCTTCCTAATTTGAATCTGCTTGTTAGAAAAGGGCTGGGTAAAATTGGCAGTGGTGCAATCTCTTTTAAGGGTTTGTCCAATTTAATGGAGACTGTACCTGAGAATAAGCAGAGGGCTGGAGAAAATAGAAATGCTAAAACTTCTCTTTCCTGCACCTAGAAGCACCCTTGGTGGTTTATCAACCAGAAACCCTTTTGAGACATTCCTAAGTGTTTGTGGAAGGGGATCCCAGAGATTCTCTCACTAAGCCAGTTTGCCAAGCCAAATGGCTGAAAATGACACCACAATACATTTGTTTTTTAAAATTACTCAATCTTTTTCCTGTGAATTTTTTTTACATTTAAAAATATTTTTTGAGGGCCGGGGATTTGGCTCAGTGGTTCTGCCACCTGCCTTGCAAGCACAAGGACCAGAGTTCGATCCCTGGTACCAGGAAAAAACAAACAAACAAACAAACAAAAAAAAAACTACATATTTGAAGCAGAGCATGGTGGTGCACACCTGTAATCCCAGCACATGGGAGGCTGAGGCAGGAGGATCGCTGTGAGTTCAAGACCAGTATATGGTGGTGCACACCTGTAATCCCAGCACATGGGAGGCTGAGGCAGGAGGATCGCTGTGAGTTCAAGACCAGCCTGGGCTACACAGTGAGTTCCAGGTCAGTCTCAACTACATAGTGAGACCCTGTCCCCAAAAAACAAACAAATAAAAAACAAAAACAAAAAAATTTTTTACCTTTAAATTCCAAGCACTACATACAGAATTCCTGGATCCTCCTTCATTCTGATTCCCCAAAGGTTATTATTTTACTCTTTTATTGCATCTCTATATCCTGCATATCTCTGGAGGAATTATTTTTTACTGAACTATTTAGAAATACATTGCAGGGGTGATGCCATTTATATTTGAAGACTCAGTGGGCCACACATCTTTTAAAAGTATTTGAGGGTTCTGATCCACCTCTAGTTATAATCAGCCCTCTCTAAAACTAGAATCAGAAAGTTGAGTGGAACCAGGATCCAAAAACAAGCAATACTGCCTCCGAGGACAACAAAGACCTCTGTCCCACATACAGTAGATGGTGGGAAGACTGCACAGGGACCCTGCCTACAAGACACAGTTACAAAACCCCCAACCTCTCCTGCCAGCTTCTCTCCCCAAATTTTACCTGGCCAGCTCCGTCTTCACCCTTCAGGACCCATGGCCTCATCCCGTGTTGTCTTGACCACACTCCGCAGCACTTTTCTGTGGCTCCCTCAAGACCCACGCCCTCCAGGAGGTTTTCCTGACCACCCTCACTCCTCAGAAGTCTCCTTTTTGCCTTCCACCCACATTTACCACTTCATAGAGTTACTGAACTTAGAAAATGTTTATCTCCTTTTCCCTCCTCCCCTGTAGGACTACAAATACTGAGCCCCAGGCTAGGCCCAGGATGAAACCCAGTTATATCTAAACTAATTGCTGGAACTAGAGCCAGGTGGAACTATCTGGCTCTGAGGTTAGGAGCAGGGACCAAGGCCAAGGACTGAAGTCTAGGCCCCCTGCATCATTCAAAGGGAAGGAAAACAGAAACCTCATGGATCCAGCAAGATTGACAGACTTCCTTCCCCAGACATCCCAGAAACTCACCAGTCAGTGCCCTCAGCCAAATACCTGGGCTGAGGGGTCTGTAGTTGGTGGCCGAAGTCAAAACTGGGGTGGAGGCGGTGGGGGTGGACAGACACACGCTCCTGACTCCGCCTGTGCCAGAAAGGAAAGAAACAGCCAGTGGCATCAGGACCTGCCAGGGACAGTAGAGTTCCCAGAACTCTGTGCAATTCCCCACACCAATGAGGGTACAGGCTGCACCCCTGCCCCCAAACTCCAAGGAAGCCTCCTAGATGAGTAGCAGTTGGTCACTCAGACTTTCTAGCTGTCCTCAGGCTACCCACTGACCTCAGGCCTCTCCCTAGGTGTGGACAGCAGTCCATCACCTTCCTCCCAAACTCTGTCACTTCCTCTGTCCTTTTTCTAATGCTCCCACTTTGTTCCTGGCGGGCCATCCTCAAAACATACATATATCTGTCCTGCGGGCACCCCTCTCCATGTAGCCCGCTGTTCCACCATCTTCTCCTCCTCTCCTCGTCCCTTCTCTGTATTCTTTCCAACGTTAATGGCTAAAGTCAAAGCCCCCCCTTCCCCAGGAAAACCTCCCTGAACACCCCAGGTCTTGGTGACCCACCTCTCACCTCTGACCTGCTATAGCAGTGCTCTGCTGCCCCAGGGACCCCAAATGCCATAATCACTGATGCTTATAACCTCAGAGATCATCTAACCTAGCAGTTCCCAAAGTGCTCCAAGTGCCCTTGGGAGTCCCTAGTGCTTTCAGATGGTTTGAGAGATCAAATTAAGATGCAGTTTGCTTTTCACCCTCACAGGTGAACAGTAGGTTTTTCCAAAACTTTGTGACATGGCATTTTGCAAGACTGTGCAGACATAAGGACACAACTCTTCTATTAAACTGTGCCTTAAAGAGATTTGCAAATATGTTAAAAAAAAAGTCACTCTTCTTACTAAATATGGCTGTTTTCATAAAATATTGTATTGGTTTAGCATAAGGATTTATTTTTTAATGAATTGATCATTTTTTAAAATTATAATCTGGTAAATATTGATGGTCTAACTCATATAAAAAGAAGTTCTCTGCAGTCATTCATTTTAAGAGTTTAAAGCGGGTTCTATGACCAAAACTTTTGAGAATCACTGTACTAATCCAATTCTTTTTCTTGACAGTTGAAGCTCAGAGAAGTGCAGCTCCTTCAGACCCACTTGACTAGTACTATCTAATTTTACTCTCTTGTTTCATGGGATGGAGCTGAACTAGACTTGGCTTCTTTGAGGGCAGAGCTGGAACCAGGCATTACCGTTGGAATTCTTTGATTCTTGGGTATTAGAATGAGACGGTTATGAGGCTGGAAGGGATATGGGGGTCCCTAGTTAAACTTCTCCCTACACTTGGAAAAGTCCACTGTGAACTTGTAGAATCAGAGAGACTCTGATTCTAAAGGAATCATCAGGTGACGATAGAGGTCACTGTCTGAAATGAAGGCCACCAACTGAGGCAAAAGCTACTTCCCACAGAGCCACTTGGCGACTGTTGGCAAAGTTTGGCAAGCAGAAGCCAAGAATCAGGGCCCACTGCCCTGAACACCTTTCCCGCCCCGCCCCTTCCCTGTCTCCTCCCGCGTCCACCCCTGCCGGGGCCTGGCTCCTGGTCTCTCCAGGCCCAGCCTCCGCCCAGCCCAGCCCCTGCCTTGTCCCCGCCCCCTGGTGCAGGCAGTGAACCTGGGGTGTGAGACGAGCCTGCGGTGCTGGGCTTCCAGGAGCTGCTGCTGCAGGAGGTATTGCTGGTGCAGGGCCTGAGGTAGGAAGGAGGGACCTGTGACGTCCTGGAACTGCAGGGTGGGCAGCGGGGTCAGCGACTGGTGCAGGGCGCCGCTGTGCTGGTGGGCCGGGGCCATGTGGGCAGTGAGGCCCGGCTGCGACTGCACGGAGTGGGCCAGCGGGAAGTCGGGGGCGAGCTGCTGTGGCTGCGGGGGGCCCAGGTGGAAGTGGCGGCAGGAGGTAGCGTGAGGATGCTGAGACCTTTGAAAGGGGGCACCTGGGAAGGCAAGGACAGAAGCGTCCGTGAGGACCAGCGCTGGGACGCTCCCACATGACCCTGTGACGCCGGTCCCCACCCCGGCAGCCCGGAGCTGGTGAAACTCAAGACCTTTGTTAGAACACAGCAATTCCATCACTCCTGTCTACACATGGTCATCTTTCATACTGAAGTGTTTTGTTATGTGTTGGAGTGGAAAGACTGTTTAATGAACAGATAAACATCTTTTAAAAAGATAATTAACACACTTAATAGGTTTAAAGGCCTGATGGCAGGTTCGCTTTCTTGACTTAACCTCCTTCCATATAATCTCATCTGTGTCACAAAGAGAAAATTTAGGGCAGCCTAGCCAATCTCTGAACTTCATGGAGACCTTGGCCTACCAACCACCCAATCCAGAGCAAGTTCTAGTCCACAGAGAAAGAAGCCAGAAGTTTTCTTGCATTGCGGTTTTGAGAGGGAAAGGCAAAAATAATTTATTATGTAAATAATAGTTTATAATAACATCTAGAATTTATTTAAAACCAGACATATCCAAGTATAACTTGGGCTCTGGCCACGTTTAATTTAGGCTTCACTGCTTTGCTAAATATGTTGAATTTGATGACAAGAAAGCTTTTCAAATTCTCCATTTTGGGGGCCAGCTCTGGGCACTGGAGGAATCTTCCAATGAGACAAGGAGGTAGACCCCGCAGTACAGAAAGATTTGCAGAGAACTTCCTGCTAAACCTGGCAGATTCAACACACGTCTGCTCCTTTCCAAACCCCACTGAAATGAGACCAACAAAATAAGGAGACCATAAACAGATACAAAGACAGAACAAAATGGGTGACATCAGCAAGCAACAGATGTCAACAGAAATTTGGAAGATAGAAAACAGATGGAGGAATTAGCAGAGCTGAGAAATCAAATACCAAGCACCTACCAAAGGAGTGGACAAATCACTGCAAGAGGCTGGAAGGGTCAGGAATAGAAGGTAGTGGCTCCTTCGGGAGGCAGGAGAGAGTGTAAAGAGCTGAGCCGAGTGAGAATGAGGACAAGTCTCCCCAAGGGGCAGTTATGCCCAGGCTTCTCCCCTTTCCCGTGCACTCCTCCTTCCAGAAAAGCCCCAAGGGGATGGGTGACACTACTCAGGGATGCAGCACCATGCAAAACACAATTAAGTGAAGGTCTGTGTATGGAACTTTGGAACCCCCATCTCCTTCTACTACTTGGTTCTAAATATCTTGCCAATGGGCATGTCTCTCTTCCTTGCACACTCTCCTGGACTGGAAACTAGGGGATGTTTCTCTCAGGAAAATTTTTGGTCCTAGTAAAAGTCCTATAGGTTCTTCTGGTTGATAGTGACCTAATAAAATGCCTGAGTCTCTCTAGCCACTAAATAATGACACCAATTAATTGTAAGTCCATTCTTGTACACAGGCACACAGAGCTTCCAGACAGCTCTTAGTGGCTTGTTTTGTCTGACATAATCAGACAGGAATTTAAAACCAAGTGAAAAATTGAAAACCACAAAGTGAAAAAGAGAGAGAAAACATGCCAAACTTAAAAAGAAAAAAATGAATTCAGAGGAACAGAGATAATGTTAGGATTGGGTGGTTTGGGGTGGTGGTAGTGGAAGGGCGTGAGTATCCTCAGAGAAATAAGATGTTGAATCCTTGAAACAACAGAAAGCCATTTTAAAAGAAGCTATTTAAAAAAAAGAGAGAGAGCTCTTGGAAATTAAAAATATACAAAGCAAAATCTGAACTTCAACAGTGGAGTTAAAGATAAAGCCAGGAACATTTCCCAGAAGCAGAGTAAGACAAGGTTGATCACATGACTCCACATTTCACTAGTAAGAGAGGAAAAAATGGAGGAAATAGTGGGGAGAGGATTATGAAAAAATTACAAAAAATATTTCCCAGGACTGAAGGTCTGTGGTTCTTGATTTTTAAAAAAGGTGTTCTAAGTACACAGCAATGCAGATAGGGGTTAAGAACCCCACTCCAAGGGATCACAGTGTAAAATCTCCAAACAGGGGCCAAGAGACCATTCTAGCACTTCCCAGAAAGTACACAGATCCTATGCAAAGGGCATAAATCAGAATAACATCAGATTTTTCAAACGTGACCCTAGAACCTTAAAAACTGTAGAGCAACTGCCTTCCTGGTACTTTGAGGAAAAAAATGATTTTCAATCTAGATTTCCATGTTCAGTCAAACCATTAATCAACTGCGGGAATAAGATAAAGCCATTTCAAACACGCAGGATTTCCCATAAAAATTAACGTTCTTGTCTTCTCAAAGAGGTACTGACACAAACCAAGAATAAGGGACAGTGGGGGGGGTGCGCCCCAAAGAAGTGGAATGTTCTCAAGCACACAGCTCCACACAAGGATAAGGGTTCCAAGAGGGCATCTGGAGGGAAGAGGGATAGTATAGAAAGAATAGGTTTACAGGTAAATTTGGCCACATGAAAATACAATTTGAAGGAATTTAAACATTGATAATTTGGTAAGGATTTGTTTTTTAAAATCATAGCAAGGCAATAACAAAAGAAAATGGGGCAGTGATTACCTGCAGAAAAAAAAAAGCTGTGTAAGAAACTGTAATTATTATGTACTATTATATAATTATTATAGAAGAAAAAAAGCTGTGTAAGAAACTGTAATTATTATGTACTATTTTATAATTATTATATAATAGATTATATACTATTATATAATTATATACTCAGCAGCCAATAATATTTATATAATAAAAATACAACAAATAACTGTTGGAGTATATTAGAACAGAAAAGAACATAATATGAAGAATATAGGCAATGTCAGAAGTTGAAAAATCAACAAAGCAATCTAACTGTTTAGTTAGAAATTTTCTCAGTCACTTATGTAAATCAGAAGGTGATGCCTGAAAAAGAACGGGAAGTGTTGAGCTGAAGCAAATTTGACTCTAGTGAGAAAGGCAGAGGCAGATACCAGCTATTTTACTAAATCTATCTTACTAGTCTATTCAAGTTTGTAAATAATATGTATTTGATGGATTCCTTTTTTTTTTTTAATTTGCAAAAAGAAACAGAACTAAAAATGAGCCAGAAGAGAATCACCTGAACTTTAGTTCTTACAGGCATTCGGGTAAGGAGGGCCTCTCTGTCTGCCTCATGAATTCTACCTTTAATGAGTCCAGGGACTGGGGCATGAGAAAGTGGCCCTGGGTCGCCTCCCCTCACTCGACCATTTACCCTCATGACAGATAAAGGAGAGAGCCGAGGCAAAGGGAAGAAGAAGTGTAAGAAGATAAAGGAGTGGAAGACAGTCCTAATGAGAGGAGAGAAATGAGTTGTTTTAAAAAGAACACCGAGAAGACTACGCCTGTTCTATCCAACAGAATTATAATGTGAGCCACTAAGGAATTTAAAATTTTCTGGTAGTTACCTTTAGAAAAATAAAATGACAGGTGAAATTAAGTTTAATATTGTTATATAACTCAATATAACCAAAATGTTATTTTAATATGTATTTTATTTTAGGGCCGGGGATTTAGCTCAGGGGTTCCGCCGCCTACCTCGCAAGCTCAAGGATCTGAGTTCGATCCCCGGTACCAAAAAATAAAAGTATTTGATTTTTTTAAAGAATTACTGAGATATTTTACATTCTTTTTTTTTTTTTTTATACTAGGTCTTCAAAATCTGGTACATATTTTGCTCTTACAACACATCTCGGTTGGGACAAGCCACATTCCAAGTGCTCAAAAGCCCCTTGTGTTTCATGGCTTCCAGATGGGACAACACAGCTCTGAAGGGAAAGAGCCAGTTCTATATATAGCACAAAGCATTTTAGACAACCAGTCTACCCTCACACGGGAAGCTCCCCCATTGCTGACGGATGAAACCCATACCCTTTAGCCTGACATCAAAGCTCAGTCCTCCTCGGATTCCACCAAGCCCTCCCCAGGCTCCCATGTTGGTCGGCTGACTCTCTATGCCCATTCCCAGAGGGAACTTTGCTCGCATCTCACGGCTGCCTTCCCCATCTTTAAGGGTCTGTGTTACCTCTGGACCTCCACACAAATGCCACCTGCCCACAAGCCCAGGGATGCCCACCCCCCCAGAGGTCTATAGATGACCCAGCCTCTCCCATCCACTAGGCACCTGACAGCCCCTAGGGTCTACACATGCCACTGGCTGAGCTGTGTGGCTTCACCAAGTCTGGATCCCCACGTGCTGCTCAGCAGGTGCTCGGGAGATACCTGGATGCCTGCCTGATGGTTGAAAGGAGTGAGGGAAAAATAATTCCTCCAGATTCCTCCAAAAGCCTGAGGCGCTGAGGCTGGCTGAAGCAAATCGGTTTGAAATTGAGTGGTAAAGAGAAGGACAGGAGTTCCCAAGGAGCCCTGGGTTTGAGGAGGTCGGGCAGGGATAAGGGGCTGGGGGCTCAGGCCCTGGGTGGCAGCAATCTCTCCTGTTGCATTTTCCTTCCTCCTGGCCCACTGCCCCTCTGCACCAGGTACCTGTCCTGAGCTCAGCAGCATGCAAGGTCCCATGGCCACCACAGGGCAGAGACTAACAGCCTGGCCTAGGGAGGCTGCCCAGCTGATGTACAGGGGGGTGAAAACAGATGTCCCTGCCAGGATGGGGAACAAAAGGAAGGTGGACAATAGTATTTCTCTGTCCTATAATGTTGCTGGCAATTTTCACCTGCAAAGGTCCTCAACTTCCATTCAGGGACTCTGTATCCCTCTTCCATTACCTCCATTCCCAGAGTGGTTCACAGCCTCATCATCCTGCTGGGATGGGAAATATGAACCCTGGGCTCCTCCTCAGCACTGTGTCATGTGGGCCTGGTGACAGTAGCTGATAACAGCTGATCTGGTTATTCTGAAACCAAGGAAGTGAAACCCAAGGGGTTACCTGGGTCCATGATGAGCCAATGACCAGTGAAGTCTGAACAGTGACATTCCC